AGAACACGTCCATCTGCTCCGCGGCTGAGGAGCCCTCAGTTGCGAGACCCGGGCGAGAGCTGCAGCCCTCGGCCGCTTCCTCAGCGCTCCGCGGCCCCTCCGCGCCGCCGGGCACCCCGCGCCCCTCCCGCACCCCGCGCCCCTAACACAACCCGCTCACCTGCCGGCGCCGCGGGCGGGACGCGGCTCGCTGGCCCTCGGGGAGGGGAAGGAGGAGGCGAGGGCAGCCCAGCGCCAACCCGGCCTGCCACAGCGGCGAGCGCGGCTCCTTCCACCAAGTTTCCGGGCGGGGAAGAAAGTCGAAACCTACGTGAGAGGAGGAGGCAGCGCAGCCGCCCAGGTGTCGCCGGCACAGCACAGCACAGCACGGCACGACTCGGCTCGGCTCGGCCCTGCCCTCACCGCGCTCCCCTCCTCCTCCTCCTCGGGCCGCCCACACCGCGGAGCCCGGCTCCCGGCCCGCCAGGGGGCGCCGCGGCGGCCAGGGGCACGTTCCCGCCCAGGGCTTCCCGCTCGCCTCGGGGCCCGCCCGAGATCCGCGGGGTCACCTCAGCGGGCGGCGGGGCCGCGCTCACCCCGGTCCGCGATGTGAGGGGAGGGAGCCGCGGAGGAGAGGAGCGGGGGGTTCCCCTCTGGAAAGGACCCCCCTCGTCAGCCCAGGTAGCTTGGTCCTGTGGGGAGCAGTGGCTCCTCTCCTTTAGAGACAACTCCGCTTGCTCTCTGAGGTGATTCTGCTCACCCCGGGGATGATTCCTGGCCTACCAGTGTCCTTAGACCTCTGCCTGACAAAAAAAACTTGTAAAATAGAACAAAAAGCAAAATCTGATGCTGTTCTAAGTGCAAGGAGCAAACTGTAGTTCACCTGGCTGAGAAAAACACAGAATTTAAGGGTAAATTACGTTTCACATTTACATTCTGGTCGCTCTTGCATGCGATAAACAGAAATAGCAACAGTTTGGAAGTATTCATCTTGTGCTTTAGCTGAATTTGTTGGCAAATTGTAAAAGTGTAGGGAACTGGGGAGCCCATTGCCATGCGGTGCCCTGGTGCTGTGTGGCAGTGGGTCACTTCACACTGCTTTGTAAGAGCCAGAGAAGGGATGGCACTGGAGGCAGCCAGGTGCTAACTTGTGTGCTGTTACTGCGAGCTGTAAATAGGTCCAGCTTCCAGTGCTCCTATTCAGGCAGCTCCCTGTAACACTGATGCTTCAAGCCAGCAGACTGTCAAATCATGATGCGTTTCATGCCTTTCTTTGTGCCAGATCACATTTGGGTACAGGCAGTGAACTAGAGCTGTTTCAGGCCAACAAAAAACCCCCAAACCCCAACAACAGTACTTTCTGCACTATAATTCTCTTCCCTGGTTCATCATCCAACCTTGGAAGTAGTCATAGGATAGGTGGGGTTGGAAGGGACCTTCAAAGGTCATCTAGTCCTACCTCCCTAAGTACTCTTACTGCAGTCAAGGGAGTCATGAAGTAGTAAAGAAGAGGACATTTCTGCCAATAAAGAAGAAAAAGAACATTAAACCATCATTTTAGAGAAGGATTTGTTAGGAAGGAAACCTTTGTACATTAATGTAGGTAACATGCAGTGCAGGTGGAACTAGCACACGCCTGACATTTGATCATTTGGACATGTCCCATACTTGTTTGATAGGATTTCCTGTGAAGCACCAAGGCTGAGATGGTTGGAAGGGTGGATGGCATCACACCCTCAGACCCCTCTGAACTAAAGAATCCTTTAGCACATCAAGTGTTTGACTGGTCTCAGTCTGTGCAATTAAGCTCTTGTTTGGGGAAGGAAGAACAGTCATAGGATCATAGGATCAGCTAGGTTGGAAAAGACCTTGAGAAGCACACCAAGTGTGACCACAGCATGAAGTGTTTGGAAAGCTGCATGTTCTGCAGCAATGCTGAATGCAGTTTTGTGCTTGAGTGCTGAGCCTCAGATCACTCTTCACTGTAGATACAAGAGGAGCTTCCCCATGTGCCTCAGCAATGTGCTCTTGTGCTTGTTTGCACAGGTACTTGCTCACGCTCTCTGCCTCTTCCCTCACCACAAGCACAGCCATCAGCTTTGCATCAGTTTTGAGTGACATGGCTTATTGTGAGGTGTCCCTGCCCATGGCAGAGGGGTTGGACCTAGATGATCTTAAGGTCCTTTCCAACCCTAACTGTTCTATGATTTTATGATTCTATCATCAAGTCCAACGAGTGACAGGCTGGAGCTATGTGATGGCTGGAAATGAGCTGACAACTCAGACACAAGCTCTAGATCTTGGTGCAGAGACATCAGGCAGCACCTGTGCTGTCAGCCAACCTCACTCCAGAGCCTGTACTCATTAAGCCAGAGCTTACAAGCAAAGGCTTAAGCTAAGCTCTGTGGAACTGGAGCACTTGAGGGAGAGGTTTAAACCTTAGCGTAGAACCAGTCTCTTTCGTGCAGCCTGCAGCTCAGTCGGTGAGGACAGGAAATGTGTGGGTGAACTTGGGGTATTAGGAAGACAAACCCCAGGGAAATTTCAAATGGATGCTAATCATTAAAATTAGGAATTCTGTCTAGTTAGCACTCGCTGGAGATTTTTATCGTGCACGATGACCTGTTTTCTGAGTGGACAGTGTGCCCATATATAATTAAGATATGGTGAAAGTTTATTGTATAAGTGTGCTGGAATTTTGGTTTGGCTTTGCAATAAAGGAATCCCACTGAGTCATGGTTACTAAATGGACTCATGGAGGATACAGGTCTCTTCTGCAGAGCTAACACAAGTAAGGAACTGAAATTAATTTCTATCCTAGTCCAGGCAAAAGCAGCCACATTGTAAATAAGGCTGTGGCTTGATGATATGAAGCCTTTGCTGTATTACTGGTTCCTACCTGCTCCTTGTTCCTGAGCTTGCAACACAGCACAGCAACCCTTAGCTGTGTCTGCAGCAATTTGTGTGGCTGGACTGTGAACCAGGTCAGGATGCTGAACCATCTGAAAAAATAAACCAGGTGAAAATCTTTATAAATTTATTTTATTTAAAATATATGACCATATTTAAAATAATGCATACATTTTTTTTTTAAGATAGCTGGATGAATTCCGTGATCTAGTTTATAATTCAGAGGTTATGTGTGGATGATTCTTCCCTACTAGTACAGAAGCAAGCAGTTAAAAGAGCAAAGTGGCTAAATATGAAGCTGATCCTGGTGAAGAAGGATCCCAAACCACAGCTGAACATTCAGCCTGAAAGCATAAATGATTGCTCCACTGGATTGTTGTGCTAGCAGTTAATGCATTGTGTAAATCTGAATGGCAGCTCATGCTGCTTCAGATGTAAACATTTTGCCTGAAAAACATCCTGGTATTTGGAAGAGAAATAGTTTCTCTGGTAACACTCAAATTATAACTTCGGTTAACCTTGTGCTGAGAATCTCACTCTGCTCAGCTGCTCACTGGCACTGCTTACAACCCCCACAACCTGGTCTTCACTCTACTGATTGTGAAACACCAAAGTCCTGCAGAACTTGGGGACTTCTTATCTTCTAGTAGTTCTAAGTTACTTGTGTAACTTTTGGTAACTGAGAAGACTCTATGAAAAAATACAGCAACCTCAAGTTGAGCTTTTCTTCTGCTCTAGCTGCTGATAACTCCCTATGTGTGATGGTGTAATTTGTACAGTCACCGCTGTGATGCTATGTGGAGAAAGATTATGGGTCACATACCTGTGCAATGCATGTGTCAGGATTAAAATGCCACTTTCTGACAAACAGAATTAGATATATCAATTAAGCCTGCTTGCATGTTCACAGAACATTAATCGTTGAGGGGGTTTTTTTCACATGAAGATTTAGAAAGCTTTTTGGTGTAATCTGAAAAAAAAAAATAGGAAATCAATAGGGAAAATAACAGTAGCAAAATTGAATGGGGAAACAAAAATCACATCACACAAAGGTTCACAGATTAGTTGAATCCCATTAATGTTGCATAAAGTTTGGTCACCATGTGTGTTTCTATTGTCCTGTTGTGGGAAGGTGCAAAGAATACACAGGCGCACAGTATTAATTTGGGACTCAACTTTGATGTTTCATCACAAACAAACCTAAATTCCCAACCCACACACAAGAATGTAAACACAATTAAAAAACAAATCCCACAAACATGGAGAGAGAGTCATCCCAGGAATTCATGATTAAATGGCCTGGAATCTCCCTTTTGTGGAAAGCAGAGCAATGGATGTTCACGTCCATGGAGGCACAGTGGATTATGGTAAATCCAAGGTCCTAAGCACATGGTTTGGATTCATCCTGCCTGGTTCTGCAGCACATTTGTTCTTTTTGCAGCATTTGGATGTGTTTTCTGTAAATTATTGCTACATATGGGTTCAAACTGTATATATATAGGAAGTAGTCAGAGTCCCAGTGTTTGACATTTATAAATGAAAACAGAATATTAAGAAATATTGGACAAGAATCTTGTGCATGTTATTAATAGTTTAGGATTATTTTATATTATCTTTCCTTGGTGTGTTTTATTAACAGTGGTCAGTTATTAATGGTGTTGGAGTACTTTATTTGGTGGATCTGTTGAATGTTTTCATTAGAGGTAAACACATTTATTTTCTGCTTATGGCAAAGCTTGTGTTGGCAGATATAAAGAGGGCATCTGGCTTTTCTTAGCAGGGGAATAACCCATCTGGCTTTTTGCACTGGAGCAGATATGATAAAATGAGGAAAAGAAATTAAGGTACATGAAGCAAATTGCTTCCCTGATTTGCTGTTTCAAATAGTATCAGTGGCTATTTCGTAACTTTTAAACTGTTGAAATGTTGCAGCTGCTTTGTAACCAAAACCATTTATCACAGTCCTTCTGTTGCAGGATTTTAAATGTCACTTCAGAAATACAGCAGCTACCAAAAAAGATATTGCAACAATAGATAAAATAACATTTCATCAGGCCAATTTTAGGTCCCACTGAATTTTCCATTATTATTTTACAGGGTTGAATTTGATCTGTGATGCTCAGCCCAAATGCCTTGACTCCCCTCCCACGTTAACTTTTTGAAGAAAGGAGATAAGGTACCATCAAATTTCTAGCAATTATCTTTATAAAGCAAGTCTGATGTTCAGTCTACTAGATCAAACCTAATTGCAACACTGTTCTCTTAGTTAAGACTGATAACAGATAATAAGTAGACTTGATCCATTTCAGGAACATTATCTGTATAATTTTGTGCCTGGAAGGTACTGCTGCTCTCTGATACAGAGTATTAACTAGATAATGCCTTTCTGCAGGATTTAGAATTCGACCTGTAGCCACTTTTGTTCTGTTAACTTTTGAAAAGCAAATGCTGACTTTCTGCTGTCTGTGTTTATGAACTCTGCTTCTTGGACACTTGGGTGAGAGGAAAAGGCTGCATATGTCAGGGGGTATTATCCTGTCCCTAACAGGAAACTCTTCCCCTTAATGTCCCAAGTGAGACTGCAGCAGCTTACTATAGTCTTCCTGGAGAAGCAGGAGTCACAGGAAGTCTGCAGCACTGCTCTTAGTGTACATAAACTCCCTGTCACAAGGGTTTAGTAGCAGCAGCAATGAGTATGTCTTGGTTATGGACTATAGAGCATAGTGTGCTATTTCTGGAGTACATTCAGGTTTTGTTCATTATTTCAAGGTTACAGACAGAGCGCTTTTATTTCTCCAGCATAAGTGTAAAATACTCAGTAGATACAAGCTTGGGGATTTTAACCAACTTGCATCTTGAATTGTTTGCTAGTGGGCACTCTTTGGAAAACTACAAGGCCAGTTGCCTTCCAGTCTTGGGATGTGCTCTGCCTGCTTCAGCAAGGTTGCTTCTAGGGCAGAGGCTGTTTGTATTCTGCTTGGCCATACAATGTTCTTTGCTAGGAAGACATCTACATTTGGAAAATTAAACCAGCAATCTTTTTTGTTTATGCCACCACAACATCTTTCAAGTATTTTGCAAGAGCAGTATCTTTCGAAGCATCTATATTTAGTTGTATTTCGTCCAGCTTTACACATGTAACCTACACCTAGATTGAAAAAAATACTGCATCAAGTCCTAGGTGGCAAACTAGCCATCATCACTGGGACAATGTACTGTGATAGCTGAGCAAAGTATGTTAAAGAAGAAAACTGAAGATCATAAGCCTCATAAAGAGTGTAAAAACAGGCAGGTTACATTCATCAGTTCTCTACCAACAGCTTGCTGCAAGCCATTCAGCACAGCAGGGGTCAAAGCCATTGAAATACCTATGGAGAAAATATCTCCATAGGGATTACTGTGTTGTTGCCTGATCTGAACCCACTGGAATGGAAGATGAGACTCAGTGTCCATCTATGGTATAGATTAGAGCACCAACCTAAAAGACAGTGAAGAAGCACCTCAACATCAAGATGTCAGAGAGGCAGATTATACTGAGACACCTTGGAATCTTTTCTCCCTGGAGCTTTTAGCTACCAAAATTGCCCTGGAATACCTTTGATATTTACAATAATCAAATTTTAATGAGAGCGATATACACCCAAAGGGGTTACAAAGAAGAACATGGGATGGCTGCAAGTCTCATCAAGATCTAACAGCAGATCTGGACCCATACTAGTTAAACATACTTATTCTTCATAACTCTCTTCAGGCAAAGTGACATATTTCTAGTAAGATTGTTCAGTCTACACCAAGAAAAAGACATGTCCTGAGGAAAAACAAGACCCATCCAAAATAATTGCTGTGTTCTGCAGCTGGAGCTGTGTTTCCAGTAAATAGCTAAATATAAACATTCCAAAGTGAACGGGTGGGAAGCCAAGACTGCCTTGCAGCAAAGATACTCATTAAATGGGATTACCTATTAACAAACCAATCCACAAAAAGTCATTCTGCCACAGCACTGAGAAAGAGATCAGGGAAATAAGCAATAGAGCTGCTTAAAGTGTGACTATACCATTAAAGTGACTTCTCTGGAAATGCCATTGTGGCATCTGGTGTGAGTTATTTCTCACATTCCTAGACCAAGCTTCTCCATATCCAAATCATGAGGTTACATTTGTTTAGCTGACAGTTAGGAACTCTGCAGCCTATCCCAGGGGACCTGCAGCTCTTGTTGTTTCCTTCTGCATGTTGCAATGCCACTGGAGATGTGAGGAGAGCTTACAGTCAGCACACCCCATTTCAGTACTTGTAGATTACCTCTTTAGGTAAACGCTAGAATAGAAATCTAAAGTGTCACAACAATAATGCAGCTATGAACATAGAATAAATCTTTCCTGGGAATGCTTGAATTTTAAATAGAATTCTGACACAACTTGGGACTGTTAGCAGGCTGGTTTTTGGCAGACACAGGCATTCAGTCCTGCGTGTCTGTGTAACATCTCTAGGCTCTTTTCTAGAGACATACAACTCTAAAGAGTTGTCACCTTAGATTCTGGACCAGCTGCCTCAGATTTTTGGAGAGTTTTAATGGACCAGTAAATGAGTTTCTTAACCATAGCTATGGATCTTTGCAGTAATTAAAGTCCTCTGTTGTGCTTCACCCTTAAGCTGAATTCTGATACAGGAGATGGTGCTAAGTTCAGTTAAACAAAGGTACCTCCATTCAACACAGACCATTGCAATACTAATTCTCTTCCAGCCAGTTCTCTTCCTGAACACTCAAGTCACATTGTCTATAAACTCCAACCTTTTTGTGTTTCTCTACACAAAAATATTTACCTGTATTTATAGGCTGGTCTTGTCAAACAATGTAAGCAGCCATGAGAGACTGTTCTGACCAGTTTTAGCAGCCTGCCTTGAATTTAAGCTATGCATGACTTAGGAAGAAGGACCTTGTTAAACACATTCCAGTGGTGAGTTAACATAAGAGAACACATGTCTTCCACAAAACATTAGCAAAAGCATTACTACAAAAAGTTGGCTTAAGTTACTAAGACTCTGGAGTGTGAACATAGTAAAGGAGTTGTGGGTAAGGCATGACTCCCTCCAGCTCAGGCATCCATACTTGCATGAGCTTCAGAATACTGAAAGAAGTAGAAATAATTTAACAGGGAAGTGAAAGAATCTGACTTTGATATGAAGCTACTCCATGCCAGTGGACGATACCAGTCCTCTTCTGAATTAGATTTGTTAGTGCATACAGACAGGCAAAACTTGCTGCTTGTATTCAAGAAGTACCTTTAATAATATTTTTAATAAAACTCAGGAGACATCAGGTGAAATGGAACACAGACCTATCATATAATATTCATTTAAGTACATATCTTGCACTCTAATTAAAATGAATCTTTTGGTCATAGCCATTTTAATATTTTCTTTTGTTTGAAATAGGAAGCCCTGCTCTGAATTCGGAAGAAATGCAATATCTGCACTGTTGGTCCTTCTCAGAGAAGATGTATTTAAGAACCACCTGCTCTGAGAATATAGTCTCATATATATCCTAGTGTGTTTTCTGACATAAAGGAAATTGATATTAAATCTATTCAACTCTCATGACCAGAAATCAGCACTCACATCTAGAACTATTCTTTCTACATTTTTTCCAGGAGATTCAATGGTCAGAGTAATGATCTTTGTATTAAAAACAAACCAATCAAACCATAAATGCTGCATCCCTGCTTGAGAGAGGGACTCTTCATCAGGGACTGTAGTGATAGGACAAGGGCTAATGGGTTCAAATTTAAACAGGGGAGATTTAGGTTTGCTATAAGGAAGAAATCCTTCCCTGTGAGGGTGGTGACGTGCTGGCACAGGGTGCCCAGAGAAGCTGTGGCTTCCCCATCCCTGGCAGTGTTCAAGGCCAGGTTGGAGGGGGCTTTGAGCAACCTGGTCTAGTGGAAGGTGTCCCTGCCTGTGGCAGGGGGTTGGAATTAGATAATCTTATGGTCCTTTCTGGCTCAAACCCCATTCTATGTGAATTATTTATCTGTACATTAGAGTTTAGCTAGTTAAGAAGAATTTCTTCAACTGTAGGATTGAAATATATCTCAAAACATGAATTACCAGAAACAGTATTTTGAGTTGGCTGCTCCACCTCATGGATGCAGGAGTCCCCTCCTGTGGTTGAAGATGCTTTTCTCTCAGTTTTGCAGCTTTCATGGCATCTTTTCATTTCTGGTCTAACCACATTCTTCATCTTCCGTGGCAGTTCCCCTCTGCTGAGTCCACTTGCAAGCTCACCTTCTTTACTCATAGCACTCAGCCCTTCTTAATTTCTTTTTACCTAATCATCAAAAAGCAGTTTGCAGATATTAATTTGCAGATTTGCCTCCTGGCAGTCTCCCAGTTTACAACTCATAGTACAGATTTAGAAACTGAGGCACGCAGAAGTTTAGTCACTACAGCACTACAAAGCACGTCTGTGTTTAACAGAACTCAAGGGGCTGCTCTTATTTTTACTTACATCAGCTTGTACATTTCTTTATACTTCTGATAATTGTGAAACGTGGTCCAGCAGCTGGCTTGCTTTCTAGAAGAAAGAGAACTTCCCAAATCCTTTCGTTTGATGCTGGGGAGAGAAAGGCTTCTGTGTGGAAGTTTTTGAAGGGTTAGCCAGATAAGGCCCCAAGTCAAACTGAGGCATGCTATATTTACCTCTGATACGACTCTAAGTTGCAGTAGTGATGTTACAGTAGCAGTTAATTTGGTGCTTAGGGCTCAAAATGAGGTAAAAGGCAACTTGGTATTCAGTAATCTTGTATTATTAAGTACTGGTTATGACGACATTTCAGTTCTTCAAAGGCTACCTCTTAAATACATCATAAGGAAACTCCTTTTTTCTAGGAGTTATTGGTATCCAGATGTTGCTTCTATGTAACTTAGCATAAAGTAATCCAAAGCAGAAACAAAGGTGGGGAGGAGGAATCCAAGTAGTATTGTGGTTTAAATAAGGTAATAATAAGATCAAAAAAGGGACAGCTGTATTAATTATACTTATTGGTGCATGCACAAACCAAAATGCTGATACTAACATACTCCCCTGTTCTTCTTTCCAGTGCTACTACTTTCCAGTTCTGCTACTCTTAAATTAGAATTTGCCAAATTGTTCAATACAGCAGTACCTCTGCAACAGGTGTGTTCTCTGCCTGACTAAAACAACATTGCAAGGCAGTCTGGGCAGTAAGTTAAGGAGCAGGTTAGATACCTGTCCTTATATGACACCAAGCTAAATTAGAAGAGCCTGTGAGCTCTTAACAATGTGTGGTCAGACTACAACAAATTAAGGTGAGGCACCTAAATACGGCACCTAAAGTCCAAGGTGGTCTTAAAGACATAGAATATATGATAGTTGAAACATAAAATTCTCTTATTGCTCTCTGCTCTCAGGCTGCCTTTATAACAAAAAAATCACAGAGCTTAATTTCCCTTTTCCCTCTGGAATGGCTGCCTTTTGGAGTTGTTATTTGCTTAATATCCTGCCTACTCCTAGCTCTTCATCTGCCCATGTGGTAGAAGGTAGGGTCTTGGGGAGAATGAGCCCTGATCAAACCCAGGTTTTGTAGTGGTGTCGCTGCTTCAGCAAAGGGATTTGTGGGGTTTTTTTGTATCAGTTAAGGCATGAAGAGGCAAAACATGCTTTTGTTCTGTTATTTTCCAGTCCTGTATTGGTATGAGTATGTACATACTGATTATATTAATTACATTTGGAGTTGCATTCCCTTAGGTATAACGTTTTACCTGCAAAGGTGTGACAAATATGTTTATGATAGTTTCATCCATCTAGCTGTTTTGTAACAGTTCTGACCTTCTGCTTCTCAGATTTTGGAAACTACCTATAAATCATTGTGTTCAGCAACAGTTTCAAAGTTTGATTTATGTTCTATTTCTTGCTACATTACTCACAGCTGCTCCTATGAAGTCTTTAGTGAGAGGTGGGTGGTGAGCAGCTAGGGACATTTTTCCATTCACTCTGATACTTTGCTTACTCCTGAAGGTCCCCTACTGTCCTCCAGCCCTCAAGAGCATTGCAGTGCACCCCAGCGCTGGGATGTTCAAAGTATGAGTACCCTCTGCTGGCATGTTTCTGTAGTAGGCTCTGTCCTCTAACTCTCCAGTGTGGCTGTATCAATGCACAGCACATGACCCACTTACCCTTATCTGCACATATTAATTTTGGGAATTCATTTCAGTAACAAAATTTTGCCTTTATTTAAAGTATTTGTGATTAAAATATATTTTATTTCCTCGTTTCTTCTCATTAGATAAGTATTTTATTGAATTAGTTCAAAGTCTGGTGGTGCCTTACTACATTAGAAAAGATGCCGTTCAAAATACCTGCAGAACATTGTTAGGGGTAGGTATTCCATTAGAGGAAGTTTTGTACTTTAGAAATTTACTTTATTGTTTTATTTTCTACCAAGGAAGTAAATAGCAAAAAAGAAATGTTCTTCTGGTGAAAAGACTGGAAGAAAAACTTCACATGGGCTGGAGGTACTATTTGGCTGGTGGATGCAGGCCCTGTTCAGCCACTCTTAGCTGGAATTCAGATGGGAGACCATGGGATCTGAGCCCTTTGGTGACTCTTGAATACAATGGCAAGACAGCATAGCTGGAAGCAAGGAGTAGCTGGGAGTCAAGATTAGAAATCCCCTGCAAGGCAAGGGAGGAAGGAGAGATGGTGCTGGCTGCAGTTTGCCCCATATCTGGTTCTGACCATTCCCTCTCATAAACAGTTCACTACATCTTTATGAAAGAAAAGCCCAAGTTCCCTCGAGCCCTAATTGTCCTGCTGTATTTAACTCCCACTCTCTATGCATCTCTGGCATATAGGAACCAACTGCTCCCTTTGGGGCCTCTCACAGATGTTTTGTAGGCTGCTTTATAACTGGACAGCTGTTGTAAGTCCATAGAAACCCACATAAAACCATGACAGTTGCTTTTAAAGCTACTTTAGTGACAATTGCCTAAAGCAAAGTCTGGTACCTCTGGTTTCTGTAAAACATCACGCACATCTAGAACAATAAAGCTATCTATCACTGAGCAAGCAACACAGCAGAGATTCTGAAACAACACTTTGGGCTGTACACAAAAGAGTAAATGAATGTATTTATTTTCTGTGTTTCAAATAGTCCTTTACAGTTCTGAAACAAAAAGAACGCAGTGCCTGGTAGGTGCTGGTCCTTTGCAACTCATTCCATAGCTTCACCACTGCACCCACCAGTTGGGTGGCAACTGAACTGAAGAGAAAGACAACAGCTTGATTTCTTTTCCTGTCCTTGACACCTAGGGAATCTGGTAACTAACATGGCCCTCCTTAGATGTGGCATCTTATGAAACAGCAGTTTTGAGTACAGCACCCTCCAGAAGGACTTGAGTCATGTCTGTGCTTCTGCTGTGTAGTATTTGCTATGAACACAAAACCTTTGCTTTGAAGTTTATACTGCAGCTCAAAATTGCATTGTATTCCCAATTCTGATGATATAACCATTTCAAAATGCTTTGACTTCTACTTCTCCGGAGAAATGAGATCTGCTTTCTTTTCCTGATAGATCTGTCAAACTGAAAAGGAGCTGTGAAATACCTGGTGGTTTACAAATCAGACCAAGCAATGAGAGTTTGCAAGTCTGAAGCTGTGTGACTACTGCAGATAAAGTCTGATAAATTAAGATATTTGGATTTTTGTTTCTCTTTCTTGAAAGGAACATGTACTGTTGGTTTGCTTTGCCTTGCCTTTCTGATTCATACTTACAGCCATGAGGCATAACTAGCCTCAGCCCCTTTCTTCTTTCAGGAGCGATCTTAGATTCAAACTCTTAGTCATTGAAGTTGCAGAGTTTTGACTTAAAGATCATTGGGTTTCTTTACTAGGGTCTTCTGATTTGAAAGATTTGTTTTCAAGAGGTTTTATCTGTCTTTAATTGTACTTTGTAAACTGAGTGGTCAGATCCAGCTGAGATCAAAAGGTTGCCATCAGATTAAGGGATGTAGGTAAATAACTATTCTGAGACCCCCTCAGAATCCAGAGACACAGACAAAGCTGTGTCATTAGCAAAGCAGACAGTTGGTAGGATTTCTCTTCTCTGGCCCTAACTATGGCCCCTTTCACACTTGCATGTGGTTATCAAACCAGGGCCTTGTACCACATTATGATGCTAATATCTGACCCAGTATCCTGCTGTCATTTATGTTGGACAATTACAGTCTACATGGAGTATGTTCATGTGAAGTACAGAAAATAGACATGGGGAATGTCTGTTAAGATATTGGTCCAGTAATGCCTTTGTTAGTGGTTTGTCAGGAGAGGGTAGGAAGAAAATTTGGTGCATCTTGGCTTGACACTTTCTAAAACCTTCTTTCATCTCCCTCTTCCTTCCCATCCTCCCAAAGACAGCCCTCACTTCAAAGTGCCTGACTGCAAATTTGAAATACAATTCCATGATTTTCCCATTTCCATCTCCTAAATCTCATCCAGATCACCTAAACTGTTTCCTCAGCATCTGCAGCCACCCTTAAAGTAAATGAAGACTGCAGCTGCTCAGCACGTGTAGAGCTTTGGATAAACCTGCTCTTTTCTGTTCTTGTCCACAATGCAGTATCAACACTACATCAATATTTATCATTCATTTCCAGCTATCAAAAGACAGTCCCAGTATTTGCCCAACTTTTTAAAGTGATTGAAAACCTTTCAGTGCTATGTATTAAATAGCTTATTTTGCTGCTATTAATTGAAATATGTGTAACTGCTCTGGATATTGTCCAAGAGCCTCTCATGATCCCCTTTTTATTCAACTGAGGCTTCAGCTGGGAGACAGAAAGCCTGTGTGTGTCTGGGAGAGGGTGGGGTGGAATATTCATGCCATTGAAAAGACTCATGTTGTTACTTAACAACTACATTAACCTCATGTCACAAGTCATGACCTTGTGCTGACCCTGGCTAGAAAAGCAGCACAGCTTCGAAGTACAAAACATGAAAGTGGGAGAAGTAAGTAGCAGAGGAGGAGAAAAGATCAGCTCTTCATGGAAGAGGCTTCCAAACCCATTCAGACAAAATGCCAGACAATAGCAGCACAGGGGCTGTGCATAGGCCATCTCCACCCAGCCACTCACTCACTGGTGAAGCATTTTCATGGTGAGCCTTTCATAGCCAGCTGCAGACTGACATGACCTTTAAACAGTGAGGTTCCTTTTAATGCAAGGCACCCTGGTAGAGCAAAGGGAAGGAGCCTGAGCACATACAGACTGGAGCCTTTAGATCTCTTGTTTCTGTCCTTCTTTGCCTTCCAGTAGAGCCCTGTTTGCACAAGTGCTGCATTCAGAGATGAGCCTGGCAGCTCATCCCACCTGAATTTCTGAAGGGAAAATCACAAACCAAAGATCATTTCTCCTTGGCTTTTTGGAGTCATTTTGGTGGCAGTGGTGGGATTTACAAACCCCCCTCTGCAATGTCAATATTGGGAAATGGCAAAGTGACTCCAATTTTAAGTAAGAAGGCAGGAAGTGGGATTTGATTGGAGAGCAGAGCAAGGGCGGGAGGGCAACAGGAGTTTGTTTTGCACAGCAAGAACTGTGGCAAAAGTTGTGTGGGACCTGTACAAAGATACTTGCAAGTCAGGCTGGTGAAGGGCTCTGGGGGGAAATACCAACTCCCAGAAGCTCAAGCACAGTGTTTTTCCCCAACCAGTATTTTCTAACAGAGTAGCAACAAAAGTGGTGACACCACAGGATTGACATGGCTGGCTTCAGTGAGCCCATGGAGGAATTACTCACATGCTTTGCTGATCACATATTTTGATCAGCAGGCACCTCACTGCTCGAGGAACTCCTAATCCATCTGATCAGTGGCTCATTTACCTTTGGTTGCCATCTCCAGCAGACACCAGGACAGGGTGTTTCAGAGGAATTGCCATAAAGAGCCTTTCTAAAATAGCCTACTTCAAAAAGAGGCCCTTGGTGCAAGCAGAGATTGGCTTCTGTTCTGAAGCTTGAGGTTTATGAAAATTGGTGTTTCTCTTTGATTTTCCAGCAGTAAATAATTATAGGTTTGACATCCTCAGGCTTTAAAGCATCATGAGTCAGTCACCCAAGTATGAGATGGTTCATAAAATTCTCACTAACCTAAAAATAATAAACACT